GCCCTTGGTGTCAGCTTCCCCCTCCCCCTCCGCTCCCTCTCCCCCCATGAACCCTTGATAATTTATAAATTATTATTATTTTGTCGTATCTTACACCATCCAATGTTCCCTTTCATCCACTTCTCCGATGTCCATCCCCCAGGTAGGAGGTTATATGTAGATCCTTGTAATTGGTTCCCCCTTTCTCCCTCACCTTCCCTCCACCCTCTGGTATCGCCACTCTCACCACTGGTCCTGAGAGGTTCATCTGTCCTGGATTCCCTGTGTTTCCAGTTCCTTCGTGGAACAGACTTAGGTTTTCTTCTCTGACAGGTTTCCTTCTCTGACGGGTTTCCACCTTTCCATGGTTTCAATGGTAGAAGTGTGTTCACGCATATATTTTTAGCAGTGAATATTCGTGGGGGGGGGCAAGAAAGGGGCGGGTAGTATTTAATTAATGAATGCAATGTGTCTTCTTGGTAAAATCCAAAATTAAACTGGCTCCCTGTTTTTGATCCTGCTTGTATGTAGTTGGTGACCTTTGGTGTGGAGATTCAATTTCCTGCAGGACAGTTAGCAAACCCCACACTGAGGTTTGTTTGCGGTAGGGATGGAAAGTTCAGTTACTCGATATCATAGAACATTTGGGGTTGACATTCCTGAAAATCAAGATTTACTATTGAACACGAAACACTGTCGTTGGCCATATTGCCCATTAACCTAGGAATCAGAAATTGACCGGGGGCATGGTGAGGATTGTATTCTCAGCTATACACTAATAACAATATTGTTTCCCTTCACCAGATGTCGTATAGAACACACGGTTGTTGGTAATTATTTTCTTACTTATGGGCATGTGGAAGTGTGCTGAGTCATTTCCCCCTACCATTCTCTAGAGCCATACAGAACATGCTTAGAATGTCAAGTGCATTTACCCACCACATTATCAACATACTCACATGTGGATTGCCAAAGTAGCTAACCCATGATCTGGGCATCAAGGCAATCTTGTGAAATGAAGTTGTTCCTCATTGCTACACTGCCGTCTTCAGAGAAAACCCTCTACTTCAATGCAGGATGCCTTGAAGCCTTAACCTGAAACTTTCTGGAACTCTATTTCCACATTAAAAAGTAAACACTGACATAGAATATGGGGTGCCACCTCCTTGTGGCTTCCATGGGCCAGTGTCACCCAGGACACTAACTTCTGGTGTCACCCTCTCTCTCCTGGACCTTCTCTGGCACCAGATCACACAGAACCCTCAGTAATATGTATTGTAAAGTTTAATCATAGAAATGATATGTGGTCAATATCATTGTAAATAACTTAAATTTAATAGTTCTTAGATTATATCAATACAACCAAGAAATTGTTTTACAAAATCTTTCTACGTCAAATTTCAACATTATTGGTAACAGAGCAAGGTGCTTTTAATTTTTTTTCTCTCTCGTCCTTTCCTACTTCCTTCTCAATGCGAAGCCCTGGAGGGTTACAGCGAATGAACCGCAGGTCAGCAGTTCAAACCCGCCAGCCACAGGAGAAATAACGAGCCTTTCTGCCCCTGTAAAGAGTTAGAGCCTTGGGAACCCCAAAGGGCAGTTCTACCCTGTCCTGTAGAGTTCCTGTGAGTCAGAAGGGATGGGGTGGCAGTGAATTTCCATTCTCAAACAATGATTGATATGGTCCACAAATATTAATACAATATTGCACTCGAACACTTGGAATTTGACCAATCAGTGTTTATGAAGACATAGCAGCAATGAAATCAATGCCATGTGCTTATCGCACACATGAACGCACACGGATTCCATGCATCCTGGTCATGCTGTGACCAGAGATCATTAACCCCACTGCCTTCCTGTCCATCCGGACTCATAGCAACCCTTTCGGACCACGTAGAGCTGCTCCGTAGCATTTTGGAGACTGTAAATCTTTACAAGGGCAGACAACCTCACCTTTCCCCCATGGGCCAGCTAAATAAGCATAGTATTTAGGCCTGTAGGTATATGGATACAGGTAAACGGCACTTCTTACGAAGACATCTTTTGTTGTTTTAACTACTATGACGTTTTAATAAGAAAATAATGCATTTCTGCTAAAACAGCAGCGGAATTTTATAGACAATCATTTTGGTGCCACCCCTGTCTGACAGTGCCACCCAATGCGGTCCACACGCCCTTAGTGATGATGCCATTGCCACATCCTGTTAGGTCAGAGGCCTCTGATTTCTGAAAAGCTTGAGACGTTGGTGAAGATGAGGAAAGGGTTTGCGCACACTCATAACTGACAAGTCCCTTAGGGCGATGATTTGGAGAGAGCTGGAGTGCAGAGGAGAGGAACAGAGAAGGCAGGAAGGGGCTCCTGGCTTCAGGTTGTAACCCCCCCACTGGCAAGATGGCAGTACAGATTGCAGGCCCAATGGCTATGCGTCTTTAACCCATTGGATATGCTCACGGTGGACATCTCAAATGATCTAAATAAGTTAATTTCCTCCTAACATTTCCTGCAACCCTATCTTATATGGAGGGGGGTGGGCAAAGAAGAAAGAAAAATATCCTTCTCCCTTCCCCCAAACAGAAAAACAAAATCCCAACATATGGTAGATGTACTACTATCACAACTAGGTAATACTATCCTCTCATATGGAAGGTATTAACTAAAATGAAAATGGTTATGTTAGGGTCCTAGACTTAATTACTGTTTGTGATCTTTAGGGAGTGGGATTACAGGGACTTCCTGTGTTATGTCTTTGTGAAGTGTTTCAACTTTTATAACAACCATGCTATATTTTTATATTCTGATACTCAAGAAAAGGCTCCACCAATCATTTCACATTTTTATGCTTACTACAAAGATATATTTCATGTTTACTATTGTATACTCACTGGTTAATATTTTACACTTAGTATTTAAAATTAACTTGTAGCTTGTTCCTTTTATAAATAAAGAACAGTTCTAATCTTACTCTTTAACTCACTTGGCAAAGTTTAGGCAGTTCATTCACCTAAACTCTATATTTACAGAGTGTAATGCAGGGGGACAAAGAGGAGAATGCAAGCGGCCAATTTGCCCTGATAGTCCTTGCCATAAACAGCAGTTCCAGAAT